ATTTGAGTAAAGGTTAAATTGTTAAAATGTCAGTATTTGGTTTGTCTGTCAAACCAAATTTGCTTATTTGATTAGTAAACTACAAAAAAAAAATTGGTGTAGAAACAATTTTCACTCAGAAATTGCTAGTAAATTTCACAATTAATTACAAAGTAAGAGCAAGAAACAGTGAATTAAACATGAAACTGTGAAGTAGAAAGACTGAAATAGTATTTTCTATTTCACGAGAATATGAGATACTTCATGTTCATTTTAGATAACTCTACTTTGTTTTAAATGTTCTTATTCTTCTAAAGCATTGTTTATTTCTAGTTTTAAATTGCAATGTAGAATCCTAGATTTTCAGTGTAGCCTCAGACTTATGAACTCCACTGTATAATTTATATTTTTAAAACAAAAAATGTCTTTTGACAAAGCTGTTGGTGGATTTTTGTACTGAAACAAGGAAGCGTTAACACTTATGTTACTGATAATGGGAGTGCCAGTAGCTAGTGCCAATAGCCTCAAAATGACCAAATATCGGACAATTAATTAGCCTGATTAATATATCAGTCTGTTTCTAGTCATGACCATTTCCCCATAGCTTCCATGCAGTTCATGCAGCTGTTAAGTAACATGTCTTATGACCATGACGCAATGGTTACATCCTTTAGGAGGTACAGAGAAGAGCACAGGATGTTCTAGAATCTTCTAGTAATTTCTACATCTTGGATCTCTGTGCATCAGGTGACTAATACCTGTTTTGGTCATGTGCATAAACAAAAACACATTTGTTGTAATTTTGAAACAGTAGGACATATTGCGCAATTGCCCACTGATAAACAGTTTACAGTGGCTGATACCAGTGCCGATATCTAGAGAGCAGAATGGCTGATGTAATGCTGATATATATATATATATATATATATATGTAAATAATTAATTTAAAGGAATAGTTCACCCAAAAATGAAAATTTAGTCACCCTCATCCAGGTCATCCAAGATGTAGATGAGTTTGTTTCTTCATTGGAACAGATTTGGTGAAATGTAGCATTCTATCACTTGCTCACCAATGGATCCTCTGCAGTGAATGGGTGCCGTCAGAATGAGAGTCCTAACATCTGATAAAAACATCACAATAATCCACACGACTCCAGTCCATCAATTAACTTGTGAAGTGAAAAGCTGTAAACAAACCCATCATTAAGATGTTTCTAACTCCAAACCATTGCTTTCAGCTAAAATGCTTTCTCTAGTGAAAAAAAAAGGAGAGAAATCAGGAGAGAAATATGCACGGATCAAGCACCATTTAAAAGTAAAAAGTCCTAACAGATCTAAATGAGTATGTCGGTGGATTTTGATGTGAGGACATCAGAGAATGGACTTTTTCACTGGAGGAATCGTTATCATGGATTATAGACTGGTATTTTAGCCAGAAGCAACAGTTTAAGGTTTAAGCTCCTTGATGGATTTGTTTCTTAACATCAGCTGTTTAAAAACTCATTCTGACGGCACCCATTAACTGCAGAGGATCCATTGTTGAGCAAGTGATAGAATGCTACATTTCTCCAAATCTGTTCCAATAAATAAACAAACTCATCTACATGTTGGACGACATGTTCATTTTTGGGTGAACTATTCCTTTAATGATATCATATTACACTATATTTCCTCAAAATCCACATTGAATTGAACAAGTGGCTCTAACAACTTTAACAAGGCTTTTGTTAGATTTTGGACAAGACGCAGGGGAATACCAATAATAAAAGTTTTGTTAAGTTGCTATAGTTATGGACTGATAATGATAATCTCAAAATGAACCAAATATTGTCCAATTAATCAATTTTGTTGACTGTTTGCTGATATCCACTAAATTCAGTTCAGCTTTCTGCCTCTGCTCTCATGGTTACCTTTAGTGCCATCAGGAATCTTTACAGTGGTTTCATGCAGGCCAATGTAAACTACCTAAATAAGCTTCATCTTCAAATTTGCTCACATGGCGGCTCTTAAATGAGCTGTTGATTTTGCCTTAGGTATCATATGTTCAGTTAATATTCCAAATGGAGTATTGAATGATCTGTTAAAGATAATCATATAATGTAATTAATGACTGTGCACCCTGTCAGAACTGTGCAATCTGTTTATCATACACATGCACATTTTATGTTACATTGTGTTTATTAATTTGTTTTGCTTTTGTGTGTATTAGTATGCCATTATTTAATTCAAAGATGGGAATTAGTCTCAGCTGTATCATTCCTAAATGTGTAGAGAAAAAAAATCCCACTGAAATGTCCTTTATATAGGACATTTTATTTTGATGCAGTTCTTTAAAGCAGAAATGTCATTTTTTGATCTTAAATTTCATTCTCCTAGCCCGTAGTAATATGCAGAGACAAAGTAAACCATTCATATGATGATTCCGTCTCTGGCACGATCAAAACACTGCTCTGTTTGTTGGAGAATCCCAACCAATGGCATGAGTCGGGGGCGGGGTTATGACATACTGCAGCATTGACAGTAAAGCTCAAATAGGAAGCACTGTTTTACCTTTGACTGCTCCATCACCCGTATTTGTTTCTCTCTTTATGGGGATCTTTATGGTCCCTTTTGCAAAGCTGTGAACTTAGACTCCTCTTCTGTTATTCCCACATGTGTGCATATTCTACTGTATCCATGGTTTTACAAGAGGAAGAGCACTCACTTTAGTTGACAATAAAATTATGAGTTGACATATGGCCATTAAAATGCACTTTTCATTCTCTATAAAAACACACAAGGATGTTTGTGATTTTAAACCTTGTATATTTGAAGATTACACTGCCTTTTCCCTGTTTTCTCCCTTGTGGTCACATCTTTGATTTAATTATTCTATATATAGCGATAATAAAAAAAAATGTAATTTGAAAATGATTCAATTTGGAATTAATTAAAAGTAGTTTTGACATGTTGTTGCTTAACCCAAAACAGACCCACTTCATGTGTATTTGATCTATATTTGGCACTTTATGAAGTTTGGAGACTATAATTTGTCTATAACTTGACTATAAAAGAGTTTGATTTATTTGGACAGAAGGTTCAAAATATAGAGATTTAATCTAAAATGTACACACAAACACAACTGTATGACTTCAGATTGACACTACTGGTCAAAATTATAGAAATTACCAATTATTTCATTTTAACCTTACTGCTGTTTTATTTATTTATTTAATTCTTACACAGTCGATGGTTGATGTTTCATTTGCCCTTTTTTGATTGACAATAGTCCAGCGCAATTATCTGTACAAAGAACTTTTTTTTTTAAATCATTTAAATGTTTTTTTTCACTGCTAAAACATTTGGCGTAAATGGTTCAGTTGATGAAGCACTGACTAGCTGCAAGCTTAAAAGGAATAGTTCAAATGAACATTTGCTGGAAATGTACTCGGAACAGATTTGGAGAAATGTAACATTCCATCAGTTGCTCGCCAATGGATCCTCTGCAGTGGATGGGTGCCGTCAGAATGAGAGTCCAAACAGCTGATAAAAACATCACAGTAATCCACATGACTCCAGTCCATCAGTTAATGTCTTGTGAACCAAAAGCTGTGTGTTTAGACAAAAAATAAGGCATTTTATAAACTTTAAACTGCATTTGGCCAAAATACAAGTCCGTGATCTATATGATAAAGCGTCCTCCAGTGAAAAAGTCCATCCCCTGTTGTCCTCTCACGTCATAATCCACTGACGTTCAGAACTGTTTTGGACTGTTTTTTTTTCACTTGTAAATGGTGCTTATTCTGTGCATATTTCTCCCGATTCAGATGAGGATTATTGTGATGTTTCTATCAGCAATTTGGACTCTCATTCTGATGGCACCCATTCACTGCAGAGGTTCCATTGGTGCATAAGTGATGTAATGCTACATTTCTCCAAATTTATTCCGATGAAGAAACAAACACATCTACATCTTGGATGGCCAGAGTGTGAGTAAATTTTCAGAAAATTTACATTTTTGAGTGAACTATTTCTTTAAGTTGCATGACATATAATGCCAACATGTCAGAAACTGGATGGATTTTATGAGGTACAGATCTGTTGCTCAAAACAGTCTAGTGTTGTACCTGACATCTAGAACTATTCAATACACTGCCATTTGTATAAAACCTATTGGTCTTTTCTTGTGTATATGTGTGATGCCTGTGGATAGTTTTCAAGGTCCGGTGCTTTCTCAACATTAAATCAGCTAGTTTTGCTTGAAAAATATTTTTCCAGAATAATCTTGGTCTCTGTTTGAATTTCTTCAGATGGGTCATTTCTGATTAACCTTTTCATCCATACTCAAATTGTGGCCTTATATCTTAAGGATAACATAATCTTTGAAAATTATGTAAATTCCTGCCAAAATTAAAAATATTTTTAATTATTATTATTTTGGATTACCTGAAGAGAGATGCATGAACTGACCTCAGGTTTTGGAAGATCTGGGATTATTTATTTGAACATGTAATCACGTACTGCATCAAAACATATTAAAAGAATAGGAAAATAAATGAAAAAGACAATAATGATGTTGGTCTCAAAGGGTGTCTTTCTACAACATTTTTTAAATAAATATATTCTTTTGATATTCAGTGGCCTCAAAATGTAGTTGGACACTTAGGTGCTATTATAAATGTCTGAATATAATTGTTTAAAAAAAAAAATCAAACCAAGTTTATTTATTTAATTGAAATAAAGATACCACAACCCACAAAATAAATTGTTTGAAAAAAAGACATTTTCCGGTTGTCAAATATTGCACGGACCAGTTGGTTAAAAGCAGTGTTATTTTAGTATCATTGAGATACTATTATAGTTTTTATCCCTATTTTGAATTAGTTTTAATAATATGGTTGTGTTTTTTGTCATTTTAAATATGTCTGTATAGTATAGATCAAGTTAAACTCAATGAAAATGAAAAATGTTGCCTTGGTTCCTAGCTGAAATAAAATAAGTTAAAAGTTTATTTTTGGTGTATTTTATTTCAAATAAAGAAAATCTTATGCTTTTTTAGTAGAGTATAATAATCCTGATTAAAAGTATGTGCAAAAATTGTTAACAAAAATTTAGTTAATTTTGAATGCATTATTTGTTAGCATACACTTATATTTTGTATCTAATGAAATGTTTAGTTATGTTTTATTTGTTCAAACATGTTTTGGGGCCACTATGTTCTCTGTATTTACATATCTGGAAAAGTCATGAAGAAAGGTGTTAAACAGTCAAGAGAAGGAAAACACATGGCATGAAGAAATACACTGAGTTCTTGGGTATTTGAGAAAAGGCTGGGAATTTCTCTCATATTTGCTGTCCTGGTTATGCGGGGCCAATGACGGCACAGGTCTTCTGTCTTCTGGAGGTGTGTGTTTGAGATGAAGAGTGAATGGAAGCTTCATTAGCACTTTCAAAAAGGTCCTTCAGCTTTGGATGAAGGTCACCCCACACATCACCCATCTGAGGAATGAAAAAAAAAAAAAAATTAAAGCTGCAGGCAGCATTGAAAGGGCCCTCGCACCCCGGCTCACCGCCACCTGGTGGCTTTAGGAAAATAGCAAATGGTGGGCAATATGCTTTTAAAGTGGCAAACATAAGAGGAATATGCCAAAGTCATTTATATGTGCCAAACTTCCTGCTGCCAGCTGGTGGCGCTATGACTATAACTGAATATTGGTGTGTAGATGTCTTCAGGCCAGGACTTTTATCAAACGTGAAGCTTGGTGCAGATTGGACATTGCATATTTAGGTTAGTGTAAAACAAAACATTTCATGTTGCCAGCAGGTGGTGCTATGATTATAACTGATAATGGGCCTTCAGATGTGTTCAGGCCAGGACTCTTATCGAACACATGAAGTCAGGAGACTTTTTTGTAGGTATTGGGGTGTTTCATGTGTCTACCGAATTTCGTACATGTGAAACATAGCTTGAGGGGCACTTTGTTGAAATTGTATAGGTAATGCTATTGAGCCATTTTGCCACACCCACTTCTGAAACCCATATCAGATGTAAATTTTCACCACTTCTGGCTAACAAGAGTTTTCGAGCATGTTTAGGCCCTGAAAAATGCGATTCATTTTGGAGAAGAAGAAGAAATTGAGCGATTCCAATAGGGTCCTCGCACCATCGGTGCTCAGGCCCTAAATACACAGTTCACACAATTTAAATAGTGTTGAATTGATAAAACAATCTGAAGTAATAAGTTATTAGAAACACACCTCTTTGTGTCCTTGTATTTGTGAGTGGACAAATGTCCCCAGTATTGAAGTCACAAGAGGCAGATAGGTGAAGACCAGCTGGGTTTCTTGATGCAGACACAAAAGGGAGAAATAGCTCCTCATCTCCATGGTGATAATTGTGTTCTCCTGCTGTAGGATGACACAGAATAATATTTAGTTCACCTGTCAGTGATGAGGATTTCACACTTTCTGTAGGTTACATTGTTATGCTAGCTGGTGGCCCCTTTTGTGTGTGTGTGTTTTATGTGTTGAATTTTCATGACTTTTACATGTCCTTTCCAGTCATTCTTGATGACAACATTAGTATTTTTGAAAATCAGTTGAATTCAGACAAATTCACAAAGGGGCCGTTCACGCAGAACACGTTTTTGAATTTCACTGAGCAGTTTTTCTATTGTTTTAGTAAGCTCTAGACGAACTTGTTAAAAGTTGCATTTGTGTCTCATTATTTTGCAGCGTCTCCTGTAATGCGTATCAATAGCATGATTTTCAGTTTCTATTTGGCGTGCTATTTATACGCAGAAATTGACTTTGGCGTGCGCATGATATTGACGTGTTTGGCGTGCATATAATACGCACTTTTTGCGTGCATATGATATGCAATTTGTTGGCGTGCATACGATACGCAGTTTTGGCGTACATACTGTATAAGATGCACCAACCCCACACCCCTAATCCTAACCATCGCGTATCATATGCAGGCCAAAGTCAATTTCTGCATAATATAAATAGCATGCCAAATAGAAACAGAAACTCGTGGTAGTACTGATACGCACTTTCATGAGATCGGGTAGCGTAGCGCGTATTCACCTTCATTCTAAAAATGCCTCACTCAAGTTAAATGTATATGTAGGCTAATTTAGAAAAAACACAATTTAAAGGTGAGTTTATTCATTTTCACCAAAAAATAAATAAATAAAAATGTTTTTAGTACATTGTTGTCATATAGGTACTGTGAATGTACCCTAAAACACTTTTTTTCTTTCTAAAGAAGATATGTACTGTATATAATATATATTTTTTATATTTCTAGATTGTGAATATGTGAACCCTGCTGGATTACTGTACAAATGCTTTTCTTGTGGACAGTGCACCATGGCAGAATGTCTACCTGTATACTTTAGTTTGGTTAAGTGTAGTTTGCATGTTGGTGTGTTTGCTATATGTTTTACCTGTGAGAGTCGAGACTCTGGTTGCTCAATGCTGTTCTGGTACTTTAAGTGTGTAGCCACAGGCCCGCTGCGTTTTTCAAACGCTCTCTGATGCTCTAGTAACACACCACTGTCATGACGATCACACAAGTCCTATACACATATACATCCAAAATTATTAGCACCTGAATGACATTACAGTTTAATTTGTAAAGTGTAAAATGATAGTCCTTAGAAATTGGTTCAGTCATACATGCAGAGTAATATATGACCAAACTCCTATTACCCCATCTTATACCAGCTGCATATGCCCCATTAACATCCATTAAAACTATTTTGTGGCAAAATCGATATAAAAAGTTTTGTACAGACAGTACTCACTCTGTATGACTGCAGCTGTTCAAGGAGGAGGTTCAGTTTCTCCACCACCTCATCCTCCTCTCTGCTGCCCTGGTGTGTAAGAAGTGGTTCAAAATACTGCGTTTAATTTCTTTTCAACCAGAGTCTTAATATTGTGGGTGTCATGATAACATTGAGGTGCTTTGAAGCTTTTTGTTCATACCTACAGTCTATGGTTCATACGCTTCAGTACAGTTTGGTGATCTGCATAATTGCAGTCATTTTGGAGGTGGTGTTTGTTATTAGACTAATGCTCAATAATGATCATGTTTTAATACCTGGTGTGCAGCTTTGTCGGCAAGAAGACCAAATTCTCCTGACAGCTCTACAAGTGACTTCCTCTGTGTTTTCCATACTTTGCTCATTGTAGCATTCACTGGCAGGTCTGATGTGTCCGAGCCCAGTTCACTGTTGAAGAGTCAGGTAATAACTGTCATATTTTCAATAAAACATAGCCTACCAGTGCTATTATTATTAACTAAAATCAAAACCATTAAAAACATTTGTTACTTGAAATAACATAACCATTATTTGAAATACAATCAAACAAAACATGAAAAGCCACATTTCTCATTTTCATTCAGTTTAACTTTAACAAAAATAAATAAAACTGAAATATAAATGAATAAACACTATAAAGACTATAAAAAGTAACAAAAATACCAAACAAACTTACAATTTTTTAAAATACATTTAAAATCTAAAATAAAATCGATTATGAAATATAAAAATCTAACTAATTCAAAATATTAATAAAAACATAATAGTATATTAATGATAATAAAATAACACTGTAGCATCTTTGAATATGTATATTCTGATAAGTGTTACTAACCACCCCATGCACCACAAAAAATAAAAGTATCTAAACATTGATAGAAAAATAGACACTTGTCTTATACGTTTTTAATTATAAATATTTAATAATTCATAAATTAATGTTAACAATAATATCAACAGATCATGACAAACTTTTGCACATTGTACATGTTAGCTATGTACATTTGTGGGTATTTTTTATATCACACCTGTTCACTCCATTTTTTTTTTTTCAAATATTGATACTTAATATTTATATTCAAATCAATTAATTCAATTCCATATTTCATAATTTATGTTTAACTTAAATTAATAATTATAAATATTACCATATTTTTAAATATATATTCAATTTCAGTATGGTGTGTTCACCTCAGGTCTTTGCCAAACATGAGCAGATCTGTTGAGTTCGCCCGTGAACGCTGAGCCATGCGCTCTGCTACATCTCTGAGTTTATTGAAGCTGCTGTGGATATTTGCAATGACCTCTCGATTAGCGGCAGCCTGGGTCTGTATGTCCTCAGGTAGGTACACCTTAAAAAATGACATGCAATATTCATTTTGTGTGTCAGTGTACTTTCAAAAAGTACTGTGGTGATACACTGGTACAAGTGGTTCTTTGATATATACCAATACCATGATATTTACATGGTTTTTCAAAGAATATCATGGTATTTTAATTTCATGTTAGCTTTTACCCACCTTGCCATGCAAGGCAATTTGGGAGGTCAGAAACTCATCACCTGTCTTTTTATATGCATCACGCAGCATATTTTGAACCTCCTGCAACACACAAAAAGGATGAAATGTGATGAACCCCTATTTTATTCAACTTCGAAACAAACAACAAGTATCATGTTTGGGCAAAATATGAATTAATTATACTGCCATCTGCTGGTTGAAGGGCTTACCGCACTGCTTGCTGACAGAAAGATGTTGACCAGCTCATCTCCTGCCAGGACTGGATGTCTAATCACCAAGGTCATAAACCTTTGTAGACCACGGCGGCGGCTATCATTGAACTCTCGGTCTGACATTGAGTTCAAAACTGAAAATGAGCAGGAGAGAGAGAAAAAACTGAGTTTTAGTTACACAAGAGTGTAGATTTAAGAAACAAACTAATTTGCAGAGAGTTCTCCTCACCTCCTTTAAGGATGCGTTTGGGGGGCAGAGGCGGGACCATCCTGTAGATGAACTTTTGCAGCAGCAGACCATGGAAGACCTCAAAATCACTGTACCTGCGCTGAACCGGGATCTGGAAACACTATATAAAAGCAATGAAGTAGTTAATATTGTATAGGGAATACAGAATGGCATATATATGTACAAATTGAGTTTACCTTGCTAATAATACGGTACTCCACATGTTTGAGAAATGGCAGTCCTTTCCTTCGAAGCTCTATCTCCACCAGGACACTGTCCCCCAGTTCCTTTAATGATAACCCATCCACCACAGGGTTTTGCTGACCTAGATGCATTTTCGCACCTGACAACAAATGCACAGGTTTAATTAACAGAGTTCAAATTATTCAGTGACTTTCAGGAGGGTCAAATTGTTGAAAAGCTCTATGGAAAACTTTAATGGCATAATTTCTTGAGGTTCATTGTGCTCCACCCAGACTGGCTTTTTGTGAAAAGTTAGCCAAACATTAACTTACACAAAACATACGCTATTGTTTAATGATGCTGCCAAGCAAGAGCTTGGGGTCAGTATGATGTTTTGTTTTGAAAAAATGTTTTATTGAGCAAGGACACAATAAATTGATCAAATGTGATATTTACCATGTTACAAAAGATTTCTATATCAAATAAATGCTGTTCTTTTGAATTAATTTATCAAAGAATTCTTAAAAACTGCATTACAGTCTTCACAAAACTATTAAGCAGCCCAACTGTTTTCAACATTGAGAATAATAAGAAATGTTTCTTGAGCAGCAAATCAGCATTAGAATGATTTCTGAAGCATCATGTTACACTGAAGACTGGAGTAATGATGCTGAAAAGTCAACGTTTCCATCAGAGGAATACATTAGGAATAAATTAATTATTATACATTTTAAAATACATAAAATTTAGTGTCACAATATTATTGTTTTTACAGTATATAAATTAATGCAGCTCTAGTGAGCATAAGAGACTTCTTTCAAAAAATCATACAAACCCCAAACATGTGATATAAACTTATTTATATGAATATTGAGGGTCAGATCCCACCGAAACAAAAAGTCTGTTATTTGCTATAGTCAGTTATTTTTACTCTGGACATTAGAAGATGATTTCACATTTGAAATAACTGTGGTTGATTAACTGAAAATTCAATATCCATTTTGTATTATATAATGCTCATGCAAATCACTAAAAAACATACAGTGAATATTGTGATGGATTTAGAATCATCCCCAATATGGTTTAACTGAAGCGTTTTAATCTTCTGTAGAACAAAGTGACCTATTTCACATCAGTGCTTGAAATGAGCGACCATGGCTCTTTTTTGTGTATAAATAACAGTGAGATGATTTATATTTATTGTGTATGATGCTTACTGATAGATACATGTAAGCCAAGAGATGTGATTTTGCCATTTGGCATCTTTTAACATAATTTATTTCTAGTTGTTGTATTTCTAAATGATTCAGTGTTTACTCTACATAGGTATCTTAAATGTAAATACATCTATGCTGTCTCTCATGTCTCAGTGTGTAATTAGGGTCTGTAAGCTCTTTGTGAAAATAGCATTCGTTACCTTGTCACTGGGGCAATGGGTGATTTCAGGTGATCCTCAAGTTTTGATTGAACACTGATATGCACAGGTCTGTGAAACAAAGATGAGAAATTGCTATTATAACACACATATAGCTATATCTACGACAAAGCACATTCAACATTGATTTAATGCTCTTTTATAATACAAAAAGGTAGCTTGAATCACAGCACTGAAATCAGTATGCCTTGAATTATAAATATATGTCTTTGCACTTTAAAAAGCCTCCAGTGAAACATTACATCTAAAAAGCAATATAATTTAAAATACCTTTTTAGTACTTTATTTTTAGTAGTCTATTGCATGTCAAACATGAATGCACATGTAAAATTACTCTCTATGAAATGCACAAGCTCACACAAGAACGTAATGATTGTTTTTCTTGAGTGAAGTGATTTTAAGATTTCTCATTACTTACAAGATTGCCGATGTGTATGAAGCTATCTTCAGTATCCCAAAAAGACCTTGGCTTGCACCTCGACTGCCTTTTTCATGCTTAACGTCTGACTGTGGCTGCATAACATCAGCAGATCAGATCTCAGTCTCATCTCTCTCTCTCCCTCCCGGAATTTACAAAAGAAAACAAAAAAACAGAGTAACAGACTTGAAATAAACTGAAATGATGATGAACAACTTAGCACAGCTGTAGTAATTTTGTCCATTGACTATGATGCCTTCAAACTGGAATGTACTCAGTCAATGTGACAGTAATTTCAGTTCAGTTTTACTTTTCTATCTGTCTATCTATCTATCTATCTATCTATCTAGTTCAAGTTGCTTTATTGGTATGACATTTGTATTATAGTAGGCTATTGCCAAAGCATTTTAAGTATGTGTAAAATACAGAATAATTACACCACCAAAGCAATAAAGGAGACAATAAATAAGTAATAAATGAGAAAATAAATAAATACAATAAAAATAACAACAGCAGACAGTATCTATCTATCTATCTATCTATCAATTGTCTGTCTATAAGCAAAGCATTTTAAGTATGTGTAAAATACAGAATAATTACACCACCAAAGCAATAAAGGAGACAATAAATAAGTAATAAATGAGAAAATAAATAAATACAATAACAATAACAACAGCAGACAGTATCTATCTATCTATCTATTGTCTGTCTGTCGCACCGTTATGGCACACAAAAGGCTAGGCTAATGTATACAATGTTAGATTTTTTGAGTACAGTTTCAAGTAGGCTACATTTTGACATAAGTGATACATAAAACGCCTATCTATCGAAAAAAGAAAAGATAGAAAGAACCAAGTGGTATTTTAAGAATTCACAAACTACATAATTTGATTCCGTAAATGAAGCTTTACTTCAAACAGGCGAACGCTCAATCACGGTGTGTGCGCAAGCGTTGCGCAGAGCTGACGCACATGAGCTAAAAAAACCATCACAGCCTCTTGGAAGGCAAGCTGGAATTAAAGCTTACGTAACTGGGTTATAATAATGAGAGTGGCCTGGCGAAAGATTTAGGGTATTCGCACAGACTTTAAAAGCTTTGCAATAGAGCTGCTTGATAACTAGATTCAAGCAGAGAGGGTGACTCAGGTCACACATGCAAACACCACTGTTACAAACTCATTGACAGAATAGCCTCTTATTTGAATAAATAATCATAGTTTTAGATAAATTATTGGAGAGATTGTAACAGGTGGCTTTTAATACACTCAAGTAATCCCCAGACCAAATCCATCTATGAGAAGTCCATCTCCATCATCACGTTTGGTAATGTAATGTGGCAGTGGCATAGGCTCTGCTTTTTCCCCCCCGTTACAATTAAATATGAAATTATAACAGCAGAGCAGGATTATGTCCCCTGCAGCGCTGCAGCTGTTCACTGTTTCCTCTTTCTGTAACATTATTTTAATGACTATCACTGAAATCTTGAAGCATCTGAATGTCCTTCAAACTTATAGCAAAATGTGGTAGTTCTGTATGTTGTTTCAGGGTTGGCATCATCTGAGGTCCTCTGAGGGGTTGTATATATAGTCCTCTGTTTCTCAGTTCCATGTGAAGTCTCGGCTGAGGTCCCTAGAGTGTTGCTTTCTGTTTTTGTTCCGTTTTCTTGTGCAGTTATTTTTATTTTGTATTATTAAATGAGTTTGTTACATTTGGATCCAGTCCCTCTTTTGATTCAAGTTCAAGTTGTTTTATTGGCCAAAGCATTTTAAGTATGTGTAAAATACAGAATAATTACACCACCAAAGCAATAAAGGAGACAATAAATAAGTAATAAATGAGAAAATAAATAAATACAATAACAATAACAACAGCAGACAGTATCTATCTATCTATCTATTGTCTGTCTGTCGCACCGTTATGGCACACAAAAGGCTAGGCTAATGTATACAATGTTAGATTTTTTGAGTACAGTTTCAAGTAGGCTACATTTTGACATAAGTGATACATAAAACGCCTATCTATCGAAAAAAGAAAAGATAGAAAGAACCAAGTGGTATTTTAAGAATTCACAAACTACATAATTTGATTCCGTAAATGAAGCTTTACTTCAAACAGGCGAACGCTCAATCACGGTGTGTGCGCAAGCGTTGCGCAGAGCTGACGCACATGAGCACGTTTCATTTGCTGACTATTGTCATGTTAAACGTTTTGGTTGCTAGACGACAATAATGCACATTACACCCGTACAGCGAAGAGAGACGCGAAACGACGCTGAGCAATATTATTATGTTATTAGTATTATTTACTCCGTAGCGTTTACACACCATATCGACGTAGGAGCTGCTGCTTTTCTTAACGGCGACATCAGGAAACGGCTGCATCTTGGGAACTTCTTCTTAAGACCCCGCTACCCATGTCAATGCTCTTTTATGCTGTTTTATATTAGGATTGATACGACTCTTTGACATGAGAAAAATAAGATTTCCTGCTGCATCATAATAGCCTACTCGGACATTACAAGTCGTACCTCCACGAGAAAGTATTATGGTCCTATTGTCTGTAAAAGGTGATGATAAAATAAAAACAGGCCATCACAAAAGCTAGAATGTCTGTAGTAGCTGGAGAACTTGTCACTGAAGAGGAGATAGAGGATCTGGTAAGTACATTAACAGTTTTCATAGATGTTCTGGACTGTAACATTAACAAAAATACCATACAATACCACTATGTGCCAGTGGAGCTTACTATGTCACCTCTTGCAGAAAGTTACGCAAATACCATGTCATATGAATATGATAATCATTATTTAGGAACATTGGTTATATTGACGTTTAATGGTATTACAATTTGACATACTACTTAGTAGTATATATATATATATAATTTATTTTCAAGGCAGAGGACAGTCTTTGTAGCAGCTATGTGTCCGACACTGAAAAGGTGAGATGGACATTTTTTAAATATTGTTTCCCCCCCCAGATTTTAGGCCAGCCTGTTTACTTAGTTTTACTGAATCTTTCATTCTTCAATCTTTGAATGTTTGTGCCAAAAGGCACTATATCCATGTGTCTGATTGTTGGATTTCTTTTTAGAAATCAAGAAAAAAGAAAGTTTCAGGCAGACCACCTCCTTCTCCTAGTAAGTTTAAGATTTAGAAATAAGTTTAAGATCTATTGCATTTCCATGCCTGCCACACAAATGCTACCATCTGTGTATTACTGTATCCAGTGTTGGGGAAAGTTACTTTTAAAAGTAATGCATTACAATGTTGCGTTACTCCCTAAAAAGTAACTAATTGCATTACCTTAGTCACTTTTTATGGAAAGTAATGTATTACTTTACTTTTGCATTACTTTTTATCATCTGGGCTGGGCTCATTTTTCTTTCTTCAGCAATACAAAAATGAATCACAAATGTTATGTTTATCTAAAGTCATTTTTGCTTATTAGTATGGTTGAATTGGATTATCGAATGTTAGCGATTAATAAAATGGGATATTTATGTTATTTAACGTATTTATTTATTGCAGTTTTGCAGTTCACTGTTTTTGTTCATTTTGAGAAATAATGAATCTGTTTTTGTGCAGGTGAGATAAGTAAATGCATGTTCACATTTATTCTAGAACTACAGTAACCATCATGTTTGCACAGTACACACAATGCATCTGCGCTTGTTCCCGATTTCTCTTTGGGGATGGGAACAGAAGAGGTGTCAGTCAATAAATGGAAAAAAACAAAGTAACTCAGATATTTTCTAAAGTAATGTGTTACTTTACTAGTTACTTAAAAAAGTAATCTGATTACGTAACTTGTGTTATTTGCAATGCACTACCCTCAAAACTGACTGTATCAACATAGCATAAAAATTGTGAACATTTCTGTATTTGCTAATTTAATTATGGAGTACTAATGCAACTATATACACTACAAACATGCTTTTTAAATAATAGATAATTTTCTTTAAATAAAGGGTCACCATACCTGAATAGTGCAAACTTGCATCTGAAGAGAACTCCAGTAGCATCGTGGAGGACAGTGAAAGGGACACAGCTCCAAAACTATAAAACCTCTCCGGCTGGCACACCAAAGGACGTCTGGCTACACTTACAGAATGATGGGAATGGTCTGTCCCTTTTTTTTTTAATAATGTGGCTAAAACTTTACACTGTGTTCTGCATTTTACCATTTTCAATTATGTATCTTCTACTGAAAAAGATGTAGATAGGTTTACATTATAAGATGTAAATTGCTGTTATGCTTCTCAGAAAAATGTATCTCGTTTTAAAGATATTTAAAAATGACTCAAATAGTTGACTATTGAAATCACATTCGAAGGTCGTAAACCTTTTGCTCTTTTAATATTGGATCGGTAACTGAGAAACACTGGCTCAGGATCAAAATGCTTAGCTATATGCATTTGAAAGACATGCAAATGTAATTTATTCCTATAAAGCCTACTGTTTCATATTTGAAAAATTGAATTTCTAAGGCCTCTAATTTATCAACATGATCAAAACCTTGCTGAAAAAACCTGTTGTACACAGTCTACTACCTGTACATGCCTTCTATCCTCTCATTGATAGTGCATTTTAGCAAGTAAAAGACCTAGTATAATTGTAAAAATGAAACAACTGAGGTTTACTTGATCAAAAAGTAAAAATGTGTATACTTCAGGGACATTGTCAAAGTCTCCAAAAGGTGCGGATTACAGTGTCACACAGACCAGCATCTCAATGACCAGCACCCCCGAATACTTGAAGGAGGCCTTAGGAATGAAAAAGCCAAAATATTCCCGCTCTGCATCCAACGGTGAGATAAAACTATCTATAGACATAAACCTGAATTGTCCATTTCACAGTTATTATTATTTTCATTTTTGTCACCATGTTATTATTTTTTACAATTCTTTGTCAGGTTATGTTCCAGGGACCCCAGACTTCAAAGATAAGGAGGAAATGTATGATGAAATAATTGATCTAAAAAAGGTGAAGTTCACCTCTCGCACACTCGCTCGCTGACGTATGAGTGCCTTTGAGGATGTGTTTTTAGAATTTTGATTACATCAGACAGCATGTTTTCAAATAATTGGTTTTTATCTCAGTTGTCA